AAAGTTGCGTAAACGAAGAGGCGTTAAAGAGAACATGAATCATGCGTTGTCGCCTGTATCAAGGCAAAACATGTCTGATGTCAACTGACGCAACGCGATGATGTCTGGGTTGAGGTGACATCAATACTGACACCCCCTAGAATTGACATTCCTTCGAAGAAGATCCACTCTTCTCTGCTGTGCAATAATGTAAAATGTGACATAGAATTTATCTGTTAAGGTGTGAAAGTAAAACTATCGCATTGTTTACCAAAAAATACTACTCTTATTTGTTTCATTATTTAGGATGTTCTATTTTAAATGTATGTACTTTATGTTTTCCCTAGGACGCTATGCAAAAGCCCGGGATTGTTTTTCACATTACCTTAAGGCCTTTTCACACCGGCGTACTGGACGTACTGTACGTTTGGTACGATTTTTTTCCAACAAATCGCTGCCCATGTTATCATATAGGCTAGACCTAGGGGTTGCGGGATTTATAACTTGGACAAAACCCATTGGAGATTTTGTCGGATTTGAACCTGGGACCTCACGCACCGAAGTCTCGCTCTGCCACTAGATCAGCTTGCTCCCCATGTACTTTATGTTAATATTATTACTTTTTACGATATTAGTAAATAATGAGCATGAAGTTATTTTAAAGATTTTATGACCGATGTAGGACTAGACGTGCTAAGTTTTAAAGAGAACAATTCATCTACGCAAATTGCTATGAAACCACTGTGATATAAACCAACGAGTTCGTACTGAAATACCTGGTTAAATATGGGGTAGCCCACTAATCATTAGAGCACATAGATAACACCTGGGTAAATTAAATTGTACATAAAATATCCAGTGTATTTATTGTAGAAAATATATGTCATTCATCATCATTTACAAGTTAAATTTTATAATAATTTAAATCATGGGTAAATTTCATGAAAGTTACAAGGCAGCATATATTTTCGTTTATAGTATATTTGTTGCGTTTGGCTGATGCACCTGCATACTTAAAGTTATACTTATATCTTGGTAAAAGAAGGTGCGACTGTAAGCGAATTTCTAGAGAAATTTTAGCTATATGCTTATTTAATACAATGAAACGATTTTTTTAATGTCCTACTTTTACATTCTAGAACGCTAGTTTCTAGCCCGGAACTGTTTTTACATTACTTCAGACTAGTCCTATAGGGTTGCGTCATTTAACATGGATAACATCCATTGGTGATTGGTAGGATTTTAACCCGGGACCTCGGGCACAGAAGCCCCGTGCTATACCACTAGACCAGCTCGCTCCCACAGTTAAATTGTTAAACGAGCAACATTTAAATGTCCCTCAAATTTGCAACCCGTTTTCCATTCATTACACGATCGCCGAAAAATAACCATCCTTTACATCCATTATAGATTTCTCGGCTTTTTAAACACCTTATATAATCTGCAGTTGTAATATCTTTGAAATTTCCTCGGTACTTGAAAGTATGTGTAGAGGCTAAAATCATTACTGGAAATGATTTTACTGGTGCCCTTTCCAGCAAGTCACGACAAAACAGAATCTTTAACAGCGAGCCCGCGTAGTGGTTCCATATTTTATAAATGCCATTTTGAAAGATTGTTGGACATAATAGGCCCACTCATCTCATTATTATTTTCCCGTATAGTTTTATATCCCTGTGTGTAATGTGTTGCGTCAACTTGGCTGCACGAATATGTTTCCACAAAACCCGAAATTAAATTACCAATTACTGTACGTGGAGGGAGTACCATCTTCAGCACATAGAGAGCTCTTCTCGTCTAAGACATGTCTCTTTTCTAGGTAGATTACCAACAACATTAGGTTGTCCTCATACTTCGGGTCATAGTATTATCAAGCAGCAAAATTAACAGTAGTTGTTGGTAGGATTCGAGGAGAGAAGATGATCTGGCGACAGATTATACGTCCTTTTAAAATACACACAAGTCTACAGGATGGCCATGCGATAAAATGTATAAAATGGCCCTAAAATGCAATATTCTGGTGGCGAATCAATTAATATTGTTGCTATTTCGGTGTTATAGATATTTTAATTATTCAGGATTAAATACCTAGTTGTGTAACTAGTCAATAGTTTAAAATAGTATGGTAGCTCAAAAAGTTTTGTAATTTGTTTTCTCGATATAAATAAGTTCAAAATTAGTCAAACTATTGTACATTTAAACAACGATACAGTTAGTAGATAATATATAATAGATAATAGAGACCTAGACGAGTGAAGATTGAATAAGATGTCATACTGGTCATGACTAGGATCATATAGTCTTTAGCCAGACACCACTCATTAAAATCAAATTTTCGAGGACAGCTGGGTCCAGTTTCGAACCATCAAGAGTGACTGACTTTTCTCATGATCGGACCAGTAACCTTTTGATAACTATATCCACACAGCTGCTTCTGACGGTATTCGGGTTATGATGGACCTATGATCATACATATAAACATATTAACATATATTGGTGATAGTTCGTGAACCAGTCCGATCCTTTTGGGGTTTGGGAACTTTGATTCCAAAACCAGTTCGTGACCTTTTTTCGAATTTGTATTATTTCAGATCCATTTTTTTGCTTTTCTAAAAAGCCTGAAAATAAAAAATTAGTATTTTGAGTATTTTTCCTACAGTCACCGGACAAAGCGGGCTTCCTTGCAATGATTAAAGTACAGAAAGCTGCTAATTGCTGCATTTCCGCACACTTTTTACTTTGACGCACAGTTTTCACTTTGTCGCACACCAGTATTCCACCCAAAGAAAACAAAACTGCGTGATTTTATTATACACGTAATACGGATACACGGGTACGCTTGGAAATAGGTTGGCAACACAGACACTACGACTACGATCAGCTGTTGTAGTGTTTTCCATTTCGTTCAAGGATTTTACCTAACCTAAAACGTGCTGTTTAGTGTTTGCAAGACTAATTATTTCTACGCTTTATAATAACTGCAGGAAAAATAAAATGTGTTTGTGCTTTTTGTCTATGCCAATAGAATTTATTGACATGTTTTGTAAGTGAACTGTCCAAACGCTGGTCATGTTAGCATCTAACGTAGACTTGTTGTTGGATATTCACGTGAATACAGTAAAAAATATCCCATGTATACATGTACACATGTATCCCATATGTATCCGATGTTAAGCATATTGTTAAGTGAACGTGATAACTCGAGCAATTGTGGTCCGATAGTTTAAGCGTTGGCAGAATAGAATGAAGTCTAGACCAATATTTATGAGCTCAAAAACTAGTAACATCAATTCATGGGATCCTGGTTACATGAAGTTACTTAGAGTAGATGTGTCATGTAGAGCGTAAAGAACATTGCGGGTATGCATTTAGGAAAATGTAGGAATGTGAAGGGAAGAAACATAAATTACTGTAAATGTAAAACTTGTTTTAAATGCCTTTTTTAAATTATGATTAATTGTTGAAACTGAATATGTCTTTAATGTCGTATTTATTTATAGCTTTGTTTGAAATTTCGCTTACAATCTGGATTACGTAAATAAAACATGGATAATACAAACTATGAAAGGGAATTGCTATCAAATTTGGTTCAGAGCACAATTATATGTGTACATGGATTGTGAGTAATTGGATTAAATTGAGTTATGAAAGGTTATTGTTGATAATTCGATTGTTTTATAGGTGTTTCAAAGAATTTCATACCCTAAGGAAATAGTTTTGCATTTTATTTAGAATTTTAAGTAAGGTCGATTAATAATAACTAGATATCATAGGGGTTTTAATACTTGATTGTTCTACGACGTTGGGTTACAAGAAATATATTCAATACTAAATACAGTAACATATATACTAAGTTATCCTTATGATAATAATTTAAGTGCCAAATTAACGTGATATACTTCGCAATTTCGACGTAGTTTCTCAAGAAGCAGCATGGCTGGAAAGCAAACGCGGAGGAACTTTATGATTGGCTCCAAGGACATTAACGAAAACAGCGAACTTGTTGGCAAAAGGCGTGCTTGGCTTTTCTTAGGTCGCATTCGTAAACATACCTCAGTGGATAAAATCAAAGAGTTTCTGTCTACCATTTTTTCTGATATTGATTTTGAAGTGGAAAAACTTAACTCGAAGGGACATTGTGAGTTTCAAGCTTGGGACCGACTTTGAAAATCTCGAAAAGTTGATGGACAGTGAGTGTTGGCCTAGGGATGTGATTGTGATGAGTTTTTTTTTCTTTTCACGAGGGTAAAAGCCACTGGGATAACATCCAGGAATCCGGAGACGAGGAAGAGGTTAGTGGAGAGGAAGCAGGCTTTTAAGTTTATACACCTGAATATACAAAGCATCCGAAATAAGGTTAGTATGCTGGAGGTTATCTTAACTCAAAAATGTGCCAAAGCATTGTGTGTTAATGAACATTGGTTGACTTATGCTGAGGCTGAAGTACTGTATATCCCTAACTTTACGCTTGCTGCTACTTTCTGTAGAGATAGGGCTTACGGAGGTGTTTGTATTTTCTTACAGAAGAATATAAATTTTGTTGAAATAGATTTAAAGAAGTTTTGCATAGAACAGCACTGTGAAGTTGCTGCTGTCAGGTTGATGAATGAAGGTATAATCCTAGTATCAGCTAACAGAACACCTAATGGTAACCTAGAATTATTCTCTGCTAACATGAGTGAGATTTTAAACCTGCTTTCTACCTACAAGTTAAAGATAGTTATAGCCTCAGATCTGAACTTAGACATTAGAGTACCTTCAAATAATGTGCGAGATTTTATTAACATGCTAAGGTCACACAACGTCTTTTGTATGAATTCCGAACCCACTAGAGGTGAGAACTGTATTGATAATGTTATTACATTGTTTTCCAGATCAATTAGAACTAAATGTTTTTGAAACACATTTATCCGACCACACCACAGTGGTATATCGGTAGAAATTAAAAATATGAGCTCTGACTTTACAGCCCCCCCCCTCCTACCACAAACAAGGTATGCAGACCAATTTCGAGAAAAGGAATGGATGACTTAAGGGCTCGGCTCCGCGAAACATCGTGGGACGCCATAGTCAATGATCCAGGTAATATAAACGTTGTTTTTGCCAATTTTCTGAATTTTCTGGTGTGTACCTTTGAGTGCTGTTTCCCTACTAGAGTTTTCAGGCCCAAACCTGTGAAGAGGATTCCCTGGTTTACCACAGCTTTGGCTCAGGTGAGGGAGCGTGTGGTAATGTTGCATGGTATTTACAAAACGACCAATAGGGATGCTGACAAGGCACGCTATGTGGAAGAGAAGAGGAGGTACCGACTGGAATGCTCGGCAACTAAGAAGGCAATTTGTGCCTCAAGGATCCTGGAGGTCCCAAATCAGATAAAGGCAGCCTGGGAAATCATTCGGATTGAGATTGGCAAAGAGGGAACCAACCTGGCTTGTAAAATTGATCCAGACATCTTAAATAGTTATTTTATAGACTCAGTGAAGGAGATCAGTGAGCAATGCTCGGCATCCATGGAGCAGGCCATGATCTTAGCAGCCAATAAAGGTAACAGGGGACTTGATGTTTTCAAATGGAGCGTGGTCAGTAATGAGGTAGTCGAAAAATTAGTGATGAATTTTAAGGCCTCACCTAGCAAAGATTTTTACGGTTTCTCAAATAGAATGATTCGTGAAATACCTCCCGATATAATGTTAACGCTGACTCACCTTATCAACAGATGTCTGGCAGAGGGGATTTTTCCTGATGTATTTAAGATTGCTAGGGTGATCCCCGTGTACAAGAATGGTCCCCGAGATTCCCCCTCCAGTTATAGGCCAATCTCTCTGGTGCTTTCCAAGGTACTCGAGGCAGTGATGGTACATCAGCTGACTTTGTTTCTTGAATCAGGGGGGTTACTAAGTTGCCAACAGTTTGCTTATATCAGTGGGAAATTGATCGTGGATGCAGTATGCCAGTTCTGTACCTTTGTAATGGACGCAATGGGTAATAATGAGGTTGTGGAAGGGGTCTTTTGTAACGTGTCGAAAGCCTATGACTGTGTCAGCCACCAACTTGTGTTGAGGAAGATGGAGAGTCTGGGGGTATCTGATCAGGCTAATAGGTTGGTGGCAAGCTTCCTTAAGAACAGAAGGCAGCTGGTAGTGGCGGATGGCAGGGAGTCTGGTTTAGAGAGGGTATGTATATAATAGGTGTCCCCCAGGGGTCTATCCACCATTACTGTTTTTAGTTGTGATAAACGACCTTGATTCCTGCATCCCGGGCAGAACCATTATCTATGCTGATGACACGACCATCATGTCCAAGGGAGCGGATTTTGGCTCAGCGAGGGAACAGACTGAGTTGTCATACAATGAAGCCTAAGTCTGGTTTCAGGCTAATGGGTTGGCACTAAACGAGGCGAAGACGCAACGTGTGTTTTTCTCTTTAAAGAAAAATTAAGACCAAGGTGTGGCTATATTATTGGGATTCCACTTGGGCCAAAAGTTAGATTGGAAGGACCATGTTGAAGTAGTTTTGAAGAGACTCAACAGAGTACTCTTTTTGTTAAGGCGACTGCAAGACAGCGTAACTCCTGACTGTGTTGTGTATGCCTATTTTGCCTTTTTCCACAGCATAATTGCTTATGGGATCCTCCTATGGGGACATGCAGCCAGAAGGGATGAAGATTTTGCTAGGCAAAAGAGGCTATCAGAACAATCTCAGGAGTATGGAGTCAGCAGGAACATTGTAGGCCACTGTTTAAACGGTTAGGAGTGATAACTGTCCCCTGTCTTTATATGTCAGCTTGCCTGTTGTGGTGCAAAGAGAGTGAACATGAGCTTGAGGTGAGGAGTGATGTACATGAACACAACACAAGGAAAAAAGACTGCCTAAACACCCCGAGATTTAAGCTGGCGAAGAATGTTAAGTCCTTTGTGTACAGCTCTTTTAAGATGTTTAATAGCCTGCCAGAAGACCTCAAGAACTGCAGTCTCTCAATCTTCAAGAACAGGATTAAGAAACTTTTTATAGAGCAGGCATTTTACTCTATGGAGGAATTCTTTGAATTCATGGAAAGTAGGGAACAAAACCAGCCACTTCGCAAAGCCAAGTAAAAGTTTTTATTTTTTGCATGTGTGCGCGTTTTGAGATTTTAATGACAAGGCCCATTCCAGTTTACTGGTCAACGGCTGCTTTCTTCAAGGTAAGGTATCAATTGTGGTCCTATTTTGATAAGATTTTGCCTGTAATGAGCACTTTAACAACTAGGCTAACCATACAATTAAATGTTTTGTCCACTAATCGTTTAAAGATATGTTAAAAGTTTTAAACGGAATAAGTTGTTTACCATATTATCGCCGTAGAGAATGGTTTAGTTTATGTACATTACTTGTTTTCAAACATATATATTGCATACAATATGGTAAATTTCATTATTTGATTGTAGGCTTTTAAAATTCGACAAAACAACAATTTTTTTCATCGTGGCAGCAACTTTAGCTAGTCAAAGAGTCAATGTTATTTTTACTCATCATAAATATACGCACTAATTTCGATCTATTATAAACCTGAAAGAATATGAACTCAACAAAGGAGCGATACATTCGCTGGGTCCACAGGTTTGCTGCGGCGGGGTATTTCTATTAATTTCCACGCTCGTTTGGGTTATCTGCGAGTTTCTTCATTATTGAATATTCGCCACGGACGTGTTGGCGGCTATGGGTTAGGTAACTATATAAAATTGCCACTTTATAGCTGTGCGAACATTATGTGAGTGGTCCCAGCGCTGGTCTCCGATTTATTATTTCTTCCTAGAATCTGTGGAATTTGACTTTCACTCGACAATTTTTCAATATTTGACCAAGTTTTGTGTTTGTAAGATGTTACCTTGTACAGAATGACACTGATCCGTTCTAATGTGACGCAAAGATTACGATGGCTACATAGCATCAGATACTATGATAGGCACCACTGATATAAATGCCATCTAAGGTTAGTGATCAAATTCTGGTTCACGCTAATTGTCTACTTATGTTTAGATGTATGCATATATTTCAGTTGGATTGTTGAAGGAATAAAAGATATTTTGGAAACGCATATTTATAGGGTTGAATGTCTTAAAGTTCAGGATTAGTTTTAAAGTGACAACTAAGAAAACAGAGCTATGATGTTAATTTTTAATCTTTTTCATAAACAGTAACTTTTTTGTTCTGCTATTAAAACATGGACAAACATTGAATTTCCAATAGTATTTTCTATTTTTAGTTAAACAGGTAACGAAAATAAAGATCCACGCAAATTATAGGTTATAAATAACATTGGCACAGTGAATCATGTTAACAAGTTTGTGATGTGGAAATTGTCCAAATCAAATAAATGTTTTTTTAATGCAAAAAATGGTGAAGTATTTATTCAAACTAATATTGCTGCTTCCTCATGAAGATTACTTTACAATTTTTATTAAAAACAATAAATTAGGTTACGTTACACTTGAACGTGCATTTAAGCTAAATGTCCATAAAAAAATAATATGCATATATCCAATAACCAAGTAGTTAATGCTAATAATGCCAAGAGTTGAGATTAGAATAGAGTGAGATGATCTGAGTAATTTTGTTACTGACTAAGATCAGCTGTTTCATCGTTAGGAGCATTTTATTAAAAATCCAACCGTCAAGGACAGCTGTGTCCAGTTTGAAACCATTAAAAATCTACTGGCCTCGACCAGAATCAAGCCAGCGACCCTCTGATTCGTGGACTAGTACTATTAAAAATTAACGAGTTAAAAAAATTTATGTTTATTACTCGTAATAAGATTAATTAATTTACATCATGTGTTGATGAAAAACTGGATATTGATTATTCTAACCGTAAAATGCCCCCGAATGGCCTTAATCAGACTTGTGCACTAAATACCAAATTAAACTTAAAAGTTAGGAGATAATATAGAAACATCAATGTGCATGGTTATTCAAATAGAATGGTGCAAAACTAAACGGCTGGTACGTCTGTTTCCGTTATTCAAACAGCTGATCGTTACAACAATGTACAGGGCGTTATAGGCTAAGTTTGTCTTGACAAAGTTTTTCTCAGTTGCTTAGTTGAGTACCATGAAGCATGTCAACAAATGTATTCTACAAAACTTAGCTTCGATTCCCTTCACAGCGTCTGGTGGAGTCTGAGGACGGCCTAAACTCTTCCCGGCACACAAACATCCACTTGTCTTGAATTGCCTCATCCAACGAGCTATGCCGATGAGGATGTTCCGATGAGGAGCCTCCGTCTTAATTTGTGTCAGAAAGTTTGGCTGAACACTACAATTTGTACCATTGTGCATCTAAACAAGCAAACTCTAAAACACAAAATGTGTTTTGTTTTCATTTGTTGACATGTTTCATGGTACTCAACTAAGCAACTGACACGAAACATAACTTTGTAAAAAAACGGAAACATACGTACGATGGTTTGGTTTTTCACCATTATTATTAAATAACCTGTACTCTCTCGATATATACATCAATGTATATAAGTAGAAAGTGTTTTATCAGATTGAAGTACAGATCATCATATTTACGTACATGTTTGATTAATTAAGTATTGATATGGCTGTGTTACTAAGTGGATATTGCTCACCCAGTAATCAGGTCATCAGTTCGATCCTGAGAAAAGTCAGAAGTTATGATGGTTCGAAGTAGGACTCAGATGCCCTCGATTTAATAAATGAAAATAGCTAAAGCATCAGCTGATCTTAGTGTAACAAAGCTGTTATCTGATTTATTAAAGAATCTATCACTCATATTCCCTTAAAATACCCAACCTGGTGTGTTGCAAAGAAATCGAAACTAACTCACAAATATTTTACGTAATGGGTAAACCGAAAACACGATACGAATTTTAATCGTAACATACCCTGGACATTCATTGAATGACCAAGTTGCCCTTAAAGTGAGTATGATATAAAAGTAGACAGATGACCACACATACAGGACGAGTCTTGAACGTTGCGACAGTGCGCGGCGCAGGCGGACGTAGACCTATTGACACCCCGGTCGTTTTGATTTACTGAGGCCCTGAGATTGCGTAAGGGCCGAGGATATTCCCCGGTCGTGCAAAGTCTCGACCAGGGAATAGGTTAACCACGGGTAACCCGAGTTTGATAACGAGTGCCAGGACTAACCCATTATTGGAAGTCTAATAGTCGGACGAATTTATGGGAGAAAGTGGGTGCGGGCATAGCTCACCGATGCTACCCTCTATTGGGATCATCCGACCTGTTAGTTAATTTATCAGATAGGCCTACGCGTTTCGCTATCATAGTTTACGATGATTGTTTTTACGCCATATTCTATCAGAGTTGCTAGTAAATTACTAAGTTATTTCTTCACATTTCAATCTCGACATAGTTTTATAGTTTGATGGTAAATTACTGTAATCGTTGTTATTGTAAACTGATGTAAAAATCGAAGTTTATATGAATATTATAATAGTTTATCTCTAATACAGATACGTGTTTCCCAAAATACGTGTATTAGATAAATGAGCGCAGTTGCATACAATAGAGGTACGACATTGTCACATGGTTAACAAACGGTCGACTATGATGATTTTAACCCTCAGTGGTCGAGTTCCGCTTTCTAACTACTATGATGCATTTGTAGCAAGTTGTTATTACACTTAATTCACAATTGGTATCAATAATTAAAAAAATAACACGTAAACTCTGTTATTTGAGCACGCTATACCAAATAAGTCTTGTACCATTCAACGATAATACAACACTAAAATAAAAACGACCAATATTACTTGAAAAATAATGGGTAAAACATACATATTTCTTGAAGAATGTGTGCATATTCTTTTTCCTACAGTTACCTAACAATGTACATGTTGTCTCACTGATTTGAGAAAGCAAAGTGGCCAATTCGCTCATCAGTGAGACAATGTTAACATTGTCTCACTCTAATTACTTTGTCTCAGTCCAGATTTGCAACGTGAAGGCACGAAATAGTGAGCGCGTAACATGCAGGCAACGTCGTATGCGCGCGAAATACGTTGGCAGCACTGGCTGTAAATCAGCTGGTCAGCTGTCGTACTGTTGTATTTGTCACTTCACATTAAATGTTATATTAAAAGTTCACTTCTGTGTAAAAATAGGTTATGTTTCTTCACCAATTTATTTCTTTTATGGTAACTG